GGATGGGTTTTATTATCCTTACTAACTTTTGCCTCCCAAAGTTTCTCCACTAACAAAATCACAGCCTTATATGGCCTAATAATTGCATCTATGTAGCGCTTACTCTGTGTTAGGAACTATTTTAAAGTCTTTATATATAGTAAGTGATTTTATCCACTTAACAACTCTATGTGGTAGGTACCATTATTGTTCCTATTTTAAAGATAAGGAATAGAGGTAGAGAGAGGTAATAACTGAGTTATACAGAGAGTAGCACAGCAGCATTAGTTACTTGGGGCATCTTGCTCCAGGATTTCTGCTTTTATGTTCACTGTGCTGCTGCAAGCCTTCTAATTCTAGAGCCTGTTTTCATAGCTTTACCGCTGTAACTCACCCCAAAGGTGATGCAGCAAATAATCAGGGACACAGTCAAATATTTTGGGAGAAGAATGTTTATAGCAGCAAAATTTATAGTCATAACACATAAAATAACCTATACGTCCCATAATGTGGAATGTTTAATCATGGTATAGACCATTAAGCAAGCATTTTAAATTATGATCCAGAAATAAGTAACACGGGAAATACTCAGTATAAAGGACAAAGGGAAATGCAAAGAAACAAATTATGATCCTAGTAGTGTGTGTGTGTGTGTGTGTGTTTAGAAAGGAAATCCACTAGTCAGACTGAGTTCCAGTTCCAGTCTTAATTTTTTTTTTTTAATTGCATTTTAGGTTTTGGGGTACATGTGCAGAGCATGCAATACAGTTGCATAGGTACACACATTGCAGTGTGTTTTGTTTGCTTTCTCCCCTTCACCCACATTTGGTATTTCTCCCCTGGCAATCCCTCCCCACCTCCCCCTCCCACTGGCCCTCCCCTTTCCCCCCTATAGACCCCAGTGTTTAGTACTCCCCTCTCTGTGTCCATGTGTTCTCATTTTTCATCACCCGCCTATGAGTGAGAATATGCGGTGTTTCATTTTCTGTTCTTGTGTCAGTTTGCTGAGAATGATGTTCTCCAGATTCATCCATGTCCCTACAAATGACACGAACTCATCATTTCTGATTGCTGCATAATATTCCATGGTGTATATGTGCCACATTTTCCCAATCCAGTCTATCATCGATGGGCATTTGGGTTGATTCCAGGTCTTTGCTATTGTAAACAGTGCTGCAATGAACATTCATGTGCATGTGTCCTTGTAGTAGAACGATTTATAGACCTTTGGATATATGCCCAGTAATGGGATTGCTGGGTCAAATGGGATTTCTATTTCTAAGGCCTTGAGGAATCGCCACACCGTCTTCCACAATGGTTGGACTAATTTACACTCCCACCAACAGTGTAAGAGTGTTCCTTTTTCTCCACATCCTCTCCAGCATCGGTTGTCTCCAGATTTTTTAATGATCGCCATTCTAACTGGCGTGAGATGGTATCTCAATGTGGTTTTGATTTGCATCTCTCTGATGACCAGTGACGATGAGCATTTTTTCATATGATTGTTGGCCATATATATGTCTTCTTTCGTAAAGTGTCTGTTCATATCCTTTGCCCACTTTTGAATGGGCTTGTTTGTTTTTTTCCTGTAAATCTGTTTGAGTTCTTTGTAGATTCTGGATATCAACCCTTTGTCAGATGGGTAAACTGCAAAAATTTTTTCCCATTCTGTTGGTTGCCGATTCACACTAGAGACTTGTTTATTTTGCTGTGCAGAAGCTGTGGAGTTTCATTAGGTCCCATTTGTCTATTTTGGCTTTTGTTGCCAATGCTTTTGGTGTTTTGTTCATGAAGTCCTTGCCTACTCCTATGTCCTGGATGGTTTTGCCTAGATTTCCTTCTAGGATTTTTATGGTGCCGGGTCTTAGTGTAAGTCTTTAATCCATCTGGAGTTAATTTTGGTGTAAGGTGTCAGGAAGGGGTCCAGTTTCTGCTTTCTACACATGGCTAGCCAGTTTTCCCAGCACCATTTGTTGAACAGGGAATCCTTTCCCCATTGCTTGTTTTTGTCAGGTTTATCAAAGATTGTATGGTTGTAGCTATGTTGTGTTGCCTCTGATGCCTCTGTTCTGTTCCATTGATCTATATCTCTGTTTTAGTACCAGTACCATGCTGTTTTGATTACTGTAGCCTTATAGTATAGTTTGAAATCCGGTAGTGTGATGCCCCCCACTGTGTTCTTTTTGCTTAGAATTGACTTGGCTATGCGGGCTCTCTTTTGGTTCCATATGAAGTTCAAGGTGGTGTTTTCCAGTTCTGTGAAGAAAGTCAATGGTAGCTTGATGGGGATAGCGTTGATTCTGTAAATTACTTTGGGCAGTATAGCCATTTTCACGATATTAATTCTTCCTAACCATGAACATGGAATGTTTCTCCATCTGTTTGTGTCCTCTCTGATTTCGTTGAGCAGTGGTTTGTAGTTTTCCCTGAAGAGGTCCCTTACGTTCCTTGTGAGTTGTATTCCAAGGTATTTTATTCTTTTTGTAGCAATTGTGAATGGCAGTTCGCTCTTGATTTGGCTTTCTTTAAGTCTGTTATTGGTGTAGACGAATGCTTGTGATTTTTGCACATTGATTTTATATCCTGAGACTTTGCTGAAGTTGCTTATCAGTTTCAGGAGATTTTGGGCTGAGGCAATGGGGTCTTCTAGGTATACTATCATGTCGTCTGCAAATAGAGACAATTTGGCTTCCACCTTTCCTATTTGAATACCCTTTATTTCTTTTTCTTGCCTGATTGCTCTGGCTAGAACTTCCAGTACTATATTGAATAGGAGTGGTGAGAGAGGGCATCCTTGTCTAGTGCCGGATTTCAAAGGGAATGCTTCCAGTTTTTGCCCATTCAGTATGATATTGGCTGTTGGTTTGTCATAAATAGCTTTTATTACTTGAGATACGTTCCATCGATACCGAGTTTATTGAGGGTTTTTAGCATAAAGGGCTGTTGAATTTTGTCAAATGCCTTCTCTGCGTCAATTGAGATAATCATGTGGTTTTTGTTTTTGGTTCTGTTTATGTGGTGAATTACGTTGATAGACTTGCGTATGTTGAACCAGCCTTGCATCCCTGGGATGAATCCTACTTGATCATGATGAATAAGTTTTTTGATTTGCTGTTGCAATCGGCTTGCCAATATTTTATTGAAGATTTTTGCATCTATGTTCATCATGGATATTGGCCTGAAGTTTTCTTTTCTTGTTGAGTCTCTGCCGGGTTTTGATATCAGGATGATATTGGTCTCGTAGAATGATTTGGGTAGGATTCCTTCTTTTTGTGTTATTTGGAATAGTTTCAGAAGGAAGGGTACCAGCTCCTCTTTGTGTGTCTGGTAGAATTCGGCTGTGAACCCGTCTGGACCTGGGCTTTTTTTGTGTGGTAGGCTCTTAATTGCTGCCTCGACTTCTGCCCTTGTTATTGGTCTATTCATAGTTTCAGCTTCCTCCTGGTTTAGACTTGGGAGGACACAGGAGTCCAGGAATTTATCCATTTCTTCCAGGTTTACTAGTTTATGTGCATAGAGTTGTTTGTAATATTCTCTGATGATGGTTTGAATTTCTGTGGAATCTGTGGTGATTTCCCCTTTATCATTTTTTATTGCATCTATTTGGTTGTTCTCTCTTTTCTTTTTAATCAATCTGGCTAGCGGTCTGTCTATTTTGCTGATCTTTTCAAAAAACCAGCTCTTGGATTTATTGATTTTTGGGAGGGTTTTTCGTGTCTCAATCTCCTTCAGTTCAGCTCTGATCTTAGTTATTTCTTGTCTTCTGCTGGGTTTTGAGTTTTTTTTATCTTGCTCCTCTAGCTCTTTCAATTTTGATGATAGGGTGTCAATTTTGGATCTCTCCATTCTTCTCATATGGGCACTTACAGTTCCAGTCTTGACTCTGTCATTTATTTCTTTTGTGACTTTGGGTAATAATTTCACCCCTCTGTACCCCAGTTTTCTTATCAGAAAATTGTTGTTGTAAGGGTTAAAAAATTCACACACGTAAAATGCTTCAAATGCTGGCAAGCACTTGATAGCTATCAAAATATAGGAAACCCTATTTAAAAATTAGAACTGGATAGTACATATTCAGATGGCAGTTTAATAAATATTCTTTGTAGTCTAGGAACCAATACTTTATAACTTCATCCAATTATTTTTCCCTTTTACACATGAAAAAAATTCTAAGTCGAGTGAGATGAGGGGCATTTTCCATTGCAAGTAAATAGTATTTGCTTTCAGAATCTACTTTGTCAAATTGTAAGACTTACTAAACACTTAAGCAAACACTGAAGAGTTATCAAAGTCTTCTTTTTAACCAGATACCTTCTCAAGGCTAGATTCCTGATGTTTTACTTTGGTTGAATACTCTTAAATTGTGAGGATTTAAAACTATTTAAAATTGTGTTTTCATGTCAGTTAGGATCGGTAAATTGAAGGAAATTACAAATTGGCTTTTGAAGAGCCTAAGGCCATAGTTTATTTCTCATCCATGTTTTGAAATTATCTTAATTATATTGGTTTTTAAATGTTAATTTAAAAAATAGAAGGAAGTGAGCAGTTTTAATAATAGCACCCAATCTATTTTGCCTCAAAGTTTTTTTTTTAACTAAGAGAATAATTTATTATTTTTAATTTATAAGAATTGTATTTATTTATGGTGTACAATTTGTATTTCAATATATGAACATATCATGGAATGTCTAAATTGAGCTGCTTAACATATGCATTATTGCACATATTTATTTGTGGTGAGAACACTTAAAATCTATTCTCATCAAGGAAATTCTTGAAGTCATCTTTGGAGCTGGTCTCAGGAATAATGCTACTGTTTCGGGGGCATGTGACTTTCACTGCTTTGCCCAGAATCTTCAAAGTCAAATCAATGGCTTACGCAGTTTCTTAAGAAAATGCTGGAAAATCGTTGACCAAGGAAATGAGGTTATTTTGCTGCTCTCACCATTAGGAATCTGGTTTCCTGGCAAGCTTTCATAGCCTCTTTCTCTCTTTCTCTTTCTTCTCGGTGTGTCTCTCAGGTCTCCTATGTAAAGGCGATTGACATCTGGATGGCGGTGTGCCTTCTGTTTGTGTTTGCTGCCTTACTGGAATATGCAGCAGTGAACTTTGTCTCCAGGCAACACAAAGAGTTCCTGCGCCTCCGAAGGAGACAGAAGAGGCAGAATAAGGTACGATTTGCCCTCAGTTCAGACAATGTAAAGCTTGAGTTGGTTCACCAGGCAATGTAATTGAGAAGAGCACACAATAAGCGAGAAGCCAAGGTTAATTATTGTTCTGATTTGTCCCACTGCACTGACTCAGTGCTCAGCTTAGGCCTTTAAAATTGGGGAGGACTGTCAGATTCAGCAAATAAAAATACATGTTATGGAGTTAAACTGGAATTTCAGATAACAATTTTTAATATAAGCACATCCTAAATATTGCATGGGACACACTTATACTAAAAATTGTTTATCTGAAATTCAGATTTAACTGGGCTCCCTATATTTTATCTGGCAACTCTAATTGGGGATATATACTCAATTTGACAAAGTTATTTTAAAATCCTGGTTCTTCTGAATATTGACTATGTGTGTGTGTGTATTTGACTGTGACTGTGTGTGCACATCACTGATTTGGTTGACTTTTTTCATCAATTGCTCTGCCTTTATGTAAATAATGTCATGCCCATATAGTCTGCAACTTGATAAATCCAGTGAAACAGCTCATTATTTCAACTTAAAGTTTAGTGAAGAATCCTAAGCTTTACACTATCCAGAGACTTGAGGTTTGAAATGCATAGCTCAAGATCTCCAGTCCAGTGGTTCTCAAACTTGCCTACACATTAAAATTGCCTGGGGATATTTAAAAAATCCCAAGCCTTAGACACACCTTACACAATTAAATCTCAGTCTTAGGAGGGGCACCCACCTCAGTATTTCTGCAGCTCCCCAGGCAATTCTGGTGTGCAGACATGTTTGGAAAGCACTGCTCTGGTTTATAACCCAATCTCATAGAGGCTACCAAAAGGCTTGCACCTGCTTTCCATTTCAAACTCTGGGAGAGAAGCATGCCCTTTGATATGGAGAATGTTACCTCCCGTAACAGTATTGCTTGAGAACTAAAGTTAAAATTTTATGTACAGTAGAGAGAGAGAGAGAGATTTTTCAAAATCTGTTCCAAAAAAATCTTTGAAAAATTAAACCTGTTAGTGAAGTAATAGTTACATGCTACTCTGTTGGAATGAAAACAAAAATGTTTCACAGTCACTATTAATGCTGCAAATACCTAGATGTAAAGCTGAATATTTGTTGTGAGTTAGACATTGCTTATATTGAGTTTCTGTAGGTATGAGCTGACATCTGACTGCATCTACTAAAAGGTTTCCTGCACATACTCTGGGCTTGAAGAGATAAATCTATCCTGTTAGCTGCACTGTCTCGCTCTTCATTACCTCTCAGGAACATTTTGTCCTGCCATAGATAAGGAAAACAAGTGAAGAAACACAAATATCCTCTTTGCTGTACATTACCTTTTAATATTGTGCCTTTCTCAATTTTCTCCTTACTGCCTCCCTGTTGGTGCTAATGTTTCTTTAATCACATTCACAGAAGTCCAGCACACAGCAGCACAATTTCAGGATCACTTGTGCCACACAGAAAACATTCTTAGATTATGATGGTATTTAAACACAAAATAGTATAAAGTTAAAAGAACTCATACTGCAACTGTCTATTAGTCAGTGGATGGTTTAAGTCCTTCAACAATTTCTTTTACATACAGTAATATTGCTCTGGTTTCCCAAACTTACCTTATCATAAAAAGAGTCACCTAGGACCCTTCTGAAACATACTAATTATCAGTAAAATTCCTTTCAGATGTTGATTTATAATGTTGGGTGGAATACAAGAATCTGTACTCTTAATAAGCACTCTAGGTGATTTTTACAATGAGATAAATTTAAGGAACACTATCCTGGCTTATTGACTGTATGCTCTTCTAGACCAGAGATTAAAAATGGGTTTCATTTTGCTTCCCAATTCTAAATAATTGGTAGGGTATTTTTGAAATGCTGTGTGAAAGATTCTTAGACTGTATCTGGGCTCTGTGGGAATGAGATCTGTGATTAATTAGCAATGTCTGGCATTACATAATCAAACTACTCACACAGGTTAAATATATGTATTTATTCATTTAACAGATGTTTATTGAGCACCTACTATGCTTAAACATGGAAATCTGGGAATACAGTAGAGAATGAGAGAGATAAAGAAGTAGAAAATGAGGTTGAAGAATAGGTGATTTCAGATTTATTTGCAGGCCAGTATAAAGGATCGTATTTTACTCTAAGTGATCGGAATCCACTAAATAGTTTCAATATAGAAAATACGCTATTGAGTGCATAGCAGCAGATAAGTTAGGAGGCTACTGTAGAAATATAGGTGGATATGTTGATGGCTTAGCTTACGGTATTAGTCATGAGAATGAAGGAGAATGAAGGAAAGTGGTTAGGTTCAAGATTCTTTCATTCGTTTCACAAAAATTTATTTACTTCTTACTATGTGCCAGGTACTGTCTAAACCCTTAGAATACATTGCTTCAAAGGAGAGAAAAAAACACAACTTTTTGATGAAACTTACATTCTAGTGGTTATGCTTTGGAGGTAAAACCAATAGGTCATGCTAATGTATTTTATGTGAAGAGGTGAGAAAATGAAAGAAATTGAATATGTCTCAAAGATTTTGGCTTGAGCAACTGGGTAGGTAGCATTACCATTTATTAAGATAGGGACTATTGTGACAAGCACAGATTTGGGGTGGAACTCACTCATATTTTTATGCTCTTAAGTTCAGATGCCCATGAGATATCTCAGGAAAGTTGGCAAGTGATTAGATAGAAATATATGCTCAAGAAAGGAATGAAATATAGAAATGTTTATTTGGCAGTGACCAGCAAATAGATACTGTTTTAAATCCACAAAACTAGGTGAGATTACACATTAAGATAATAGAAACAAAAAAGCTCTGAGAATGGAGCATTACATCATTGAGAAAGCCTATCTAGCGTGGAAGGGGCAGGAAAAGGAACAAAGGAAATGGTGGCAAACTTTAGATACCACTTGCAATTGCCTTTACTGTGCAGGGGAACATAGAAGATGGTATGGAATAAAATGTGTACTCATGGGGGATTTTGTTTTTCCAAACTAGAAGATAAAAGAATGCATTTGATAAGGGGAAGACTCATTAAAAGGGAGGTATTCACACTGCAGTGAAAGGAGAACATAATTTCAAGGACAAATGTCTTGAGAAGGCAAGAAAAAATACAATTCAGAGCAAAGGGTCAGGGTTGGCTTTACATGGATACAATTATTTCATCCATTTTAATAATGGCTTAAATTATTGCCAATTCATAGATGAAGATACTAAAGCACAAAGAGCTTAAATAGCTTATTCATTCCCATGAGCCAGGAAGTAGCATAGTGGATTTGAAGTGAGATACTCTGTTCCCAGAGTCTGGGTGCTTCACCATTGTACAAACAGAATGGGAAAATGACTATGGTTGCTAGTCGATTGGTATGTCCAATGATGGTAAGATGAAGGAGCTCCTAACTAATAGCTCCTATTGTGTCCATGAATTCTGAGGCTAGCCATCAGCTAAGAGTATGGTGAAGAAATAAAGGTTTGAGAAAGAAGGAGCAACTATTAAATGTTGGTTTGGGAGAGTAAAAAAGCCATTGCTCCAAGAAGAGAGATGGAACAGAATGCTGAGGCAGAGGCAGTGGGAGTGCCCACATGAGAACTGTGGTTATGACTTTAAAGTGTGAACAATCAGGAGGTATGTGTTTTCCCCCAGCAAGCTTCCTGGCTCAGGTTCAGGTACTGAGGTAACAGATACTTGAGTTTAAATACAATTGAAGTTTTGCCAAGTGAGCAGGAAAGTGAGTGAAAGACAAGAAGATGATAGAGGAGTCAAAAGAAGAGAAGTTAGAAGGGAAGAAGGAAGGAAGAAACAAAGAAAGGAGAAGGAAGGAAGAGAGAGTGGAAGGGAGAGAGGGAGGGAGGGAAGGAGAGATGGAAGTGAAGTGAAGGGAGCTTGCATGGCAGTAGTTGCAGTGATAAACCAGAAATTCTAAGGTGGATAAGAGAGGGTAGAACATGAAAGAGACATTAAGTATGAGAGAGAGAGAGAGAGAGAGAGAGAGAGGGAGACTCAAAATTAAGATTTCACAGGAAGTAAAGACAAAGATAAGGTTACGATCATAAATAAGCATATGGGACTAAGGCTGCGTGGAGAAAAAATTATTGGCAACAAGGCAGTCCAGGAATTAGAAGGCCTAGAATGGGGTCTATTATCTATGTGAATATTTAAGACCCCCCAGAAAAGACGACATTAATATGAGTGTTGGGTTGACAGGGAAATGGATGCTAAAGTTATCAACTAATAAAGGATAACAGCACAGATAGATAACAGCAGCAATAAGGAAAATCAGTGGTGAAGTCTAATGACCTGAACTTCAGAGACGCCAAAGGAGCTGGGTTTGAGGAAGGAGGATAAAGATATGGTTTGGGCATGGCAATGGGAACAAAAAGGATACCTTAGATTAAAAGATGTCTTAGAGATGCCAGTTAGCAATTACAATCTGCTATTTTTTTTAGAGAAAAATCAAGTTTGATTGTTTTACGTGGAGATGTTCTTGAATTTGTGCATCTCAAATGGCTATTCAGAACACAAAGTTTTATTGCCAAAGTTAAGTCTTGAGGGGAGTTGAAGAGCAAATTAAATCATACTTAACCTTTGCAGTCAAGGTTCCTAATTATCATCGATGATTGAATTTTGAAAAAAATAGGCAAGAGACATTTCCAATTATTTGTCCCTTAAGAAAAGCAGCATTTTTCCATCTTTAAAAAAGTCTGAACCATGGTTAGAAAAAAAAAATAACAGGAGCTAACATTTATTGAGGGCTTACTATATGCCAGGTACTATTCTAGATACTTTACATATAGTAATTCATTTAATCGCTACAACTGTGTGAGTAATGCAATCATACAGCCCAGTTTATCTGGGAAAGTCTTCATTTAGGCCTATTTTTCCAATACCTTGTGTGATTTAAAATTTGTCCTGATTACTCATTTTAAATTAAATGTTTTTTATTAATAGTTGCATTAAAATAAATGGAAATGGGTTTGGT